GCATGGAGGTTGATCAGACGATGTTGATCGGTCGCTGCCTCTCGGTCCCTCAATACACCGCCGAAGCGACGGGTCATATGACTGAGGACTTGTGGCGCCTCTCCAACACCAACAAGCATATCCGAGCGAGGGCAATGAAGAAGACTCGTCGTTAAACTTCAGAAGCATAAGCATCCCACAGCACCAGATAAACTAGCAGAAGAGGGGGACCCACCTCCTTATGCTGCGGCCTCGAGCCATATCTTCTCTGTGTTTGAAACTATCGTTGTTATTCAAGAGACAGTGACTAACAAGATCAATATTATTCTTTGAAAATGTGCTTCTCATCTTGTTGATGCAAGGGAAGGTGATGGAGAAGTGTCTGCTTCTAAGGGAGTTCCAAAAGAGACCACTGTTGCAGCTCCCTCCTCTACTTGAGCTGGCACGCAAGCTAGCGTGTCACCAACCGTCGTCGCTCAGGGGTTCTTTCTTGGTTCCCCTGTATGAGCGGGGCAAGGCAAGCCAGTTCGCTCCTTCTACCACATCTAGCTCCTCGTCAAGGGAGTAGACTTCATCTTCCGAAGGTGAGGTCGCATCTTTGTCCGAGAGAACAGAGGTACTTTGACTGGGAAAGGAGCCAAAGGAGGAAGCGGACATCCCTCCCCCCCCCCTCCGTTGAAGTGTGGGAGACCATGCGCAGGAGTGTCGGAATGGTATGGCAAGGGGCTGGCAAGCGGTTCGGTCTGCTCGATCAGTCTTTAGACTAGTACCCGCAGACGACCAACAACAGGGAACTGCCCCCGGCTTCGCTAAACCTATTGCGGTCTAAGGCTCGGGCACACTTAGTGTTATAAACGAGTCGAGCTTCAGCGAGCTCAGGCTTGGCTCATGTTCGGTTCATTCGAAATTGCTTGAGTTTGAAATCAGCTCATGTTCGAAATTGGCTCGTGAAAAGTATGTTTGTGGTTGGCTCGATTTAAATATTCTTATTCGTGTTCGGTTCGTATTCAGCTCGAAATTAACTTTTTAAAATTAATTAGAAAAAAAAGATGTAGAGTGTTGGATTCAAGTTTTGACCAAATCTATTCAAGAGAATGCGTATAACCAAATTACCATACGAGTTATTAGGATTTAAACTTTAATATAAATATATATAATATATTATTATATAAAAAATATATAAAATATATTATTATATAAATAATTATATGATTTTTTTTTATTTCAAACTAAAACAAGTCATATATTAGCGAAGAAAGAGTTGTTCGTGATCGGCTCGTTTATAATTCGATCTTAAAAAAATTCTTAATGTTCGGCTCGTTTACTTAACGAACAAGCCGAACACGAAATATTCGCGAACAACGACCTTTTTTGACATCTCTACTCCAGAGACGACAACCCAACCGGACAAAAATAACAAGACGTCTCGACCGATCGACCAGTGCAGCAGATCGACACATAAGACGAGCACATGATCAATCATAAAACACAACCAATCCAAAAAGAAAAGCGTGAACTAACCATTTTTCCTCGTATGTTTAAAAAAAATGGGAATAAAAATATCTTTTTTTTCTTCGAAAAAAATAAGAACGAAAAAGAAGGGAAAAATATATATTATTTTACAGGACCCTAGAGGGTGGTCGGCCCTTCTTTGCTTCCCGAATCATCCTCTCTTTCAGTCAGCTCGTCCTGAGTCAGAGCAGAGAACTCTTTCTGGTCACAGAAGTTAGGACCGACAAAGCCACGACGAACGAATTGCTAAATGGCATAATTCACCCCAAGTTTAAGGTACTCCGCCCGATCGCCCTCATGTTATTCCTAGGAAACCAACAAGGCAACCTTCTCCTTGAGCTCCGCGTTTTCTTTCTTCAAAGCCGCTACGGTGTCGAGGGATTCTTTGTTGGTCCTGAAGGAATTGTTGAACTTGAGCTCCCAAATGTCTCAACCATCGCGGGCCCTTTTCAGATCCGCCTCCAGCGAGGCTTCTTTCTTCTGAGCTCCTTCCAACGACCACGCTAGATGGATCAAGGCTAACCCCAGAAAATGGGAGTTTTGTGCAGCCATCAGTTGCCTCAGCCCCACATTCTGGAGAAACTCTTGACGACAAAAACATCCCATAGCGCAAGTTGTGTACCGTACATCCATTGAATAATGCAATAAAAGGCAAAGCGAAATAGTAATAAAAAATGAGATAAATATATATATATATATGAGGTAATTTTTGTTGTGATATGTATATGAAATTTAAAATAGAACGATCTTTGATGAAGTAAAAAAATTAGAACGAGGAAATTCACACTAGAAAAGAACAACAGTGAAACACAGATTTGTTCGGCAAATTGAATTGACTACATCCACGGAGTTGCAGAGGATTTTACTACTTAAAGAATTTACATCATTCGATCTTCTCGACTTATAAGAGGAATCTCTCACTTCGATGTTCTCTCTCTTATTCTCTCTCTACACCGAGATACACTGAAGAAGATAAACTTACAAGAGAAAAAAATTTAATTTCTCTTCTGCCAAAAGCCACAAAAAAAATCAATCGAGAACAATCTTTTTCTTCTTTTGTTTTCCTTCTGACGCAAGGAACTACTATTTGCACTTCTCTTCCACTCTCCCGTGGAAGTCCGAATAATAACAAAAGGTCGTGCTTCAAAAACTTAAAAGGAGAGTCGTGCGATGTCTTTTATCACGAAACTGGAGGCGGGAGCAACTGCTGGCGGACGGGAGTCGCGACTGCTCGCGATCGGGAGAAGGCGGGAGCTGGATAAACCTTTTTTACTGTTTTAACTTAACCGGGCTCCACACTTAACAAATCTCACTTGAATATCGGTACACAGGCAGCAACATCTCCTACCTCAAGCTGATATCCTCCACTGACGGCGTCGTATTTTTCTTCAAACATGAATCCTCTATCTCTACAACTCAAAACCTATGTCTTTACACCAGAAGACCAACTGAAACTATGCACAACTTCAGTTTCTAATGAGTAACAGCCTTAGTCAACATATCAACAGGATCAACATAGCTCTACACCTCTAAGCTATTTTCTGGGTAACTCTTGTCTCTGCTTACAATTCTCACTGCATGGGCAATATCATGTCTCTGCTGAAAGCCTTTTTCAACAGGTCTAGTTTTGTACCTCTTACTGCTATCAAGCTTAGTCTTCATCCGGTACACCAACTTATTGTGTAATGTCTTATTCTCTGGTGGAAGTTTTATCAACTTTCACTTGCTTGAACTTTCATCTTAAAAAATTATTTCATAGCTCTGTGGTTCTTCATCATTTGTCTATGGAACAATAGAAATGAGTGTCCCAGACTCACTCTCCTCTTCACTTCCATCATCAACAGAACTATGAACTGTCAGCAATATAGTGCATCAAGTGCATCATGTACTTCTTCATATACCACATTTGCGCTATCATTCTCCATATTCTTGGGATTCTCGCAGTTTCTCTTTATGTGGTCAGTCTTGCCACAATTCCAGCAGGTTGACTGCAGACTAAACTTTGAATTTGATCTCTCTATTTGAGTTATTGTCATGTCATACCCCTCTGAAACCAACATTTAGTATCGAACTCGTACTTGAGATCTCGTCAGAATCTTTTCTACGCACCTCCTCAGTCAAAATCAAATCACGAATATCATCACATTTCAGTTTAAATTCACCTGCAAAACTGCTAATTGTCGTCTTCATGGATTTCCAACTATTTGACAACGATGCCAACAATATCAGTACACTTATCTCATCATCAAAATCACGACAATTGATCTGTGATAATATTGAAATCATTCAGATGTTGAGCAACAGAAATACCTTCTGTCATCTTCAAGTTAAATAACTTCTTCATCAAGTACACCTTGTTATTCGCCGATGATTTTTCATACATACCTGATAAGGTTGTCATGAGATTTGCAGTCGTCATCTCCTTGCCGACAATGTGTGCAACGGACCTCGATAGGGTCAATCAAATAACCCCTAAAATTTGTCGATCCAAATAATTTCATTCAGTTTCATCCATCCTTTCAGGTCTTTTCCCCAATAATGGAAGATAAAGTTTCTTCCCGTAAATGTAGTCATCTATCTGTGTTCTCCAATAACTAAAATCCGTGACATGAAATTTATCGATCCCTGAAACATTCACTTCATCTGCAGTCATCGTCTTTCCTCAGATCTGAAACACGGCTCTGATACTAGTTGTTGTGGTATATATATGAAATTTAAAATAGAAGAACGATCTTCGATAAAGCGAAAAAATTGGAACGAGGAAATTCACACCAGAAAAGAACAGCGGAACACGGATTTACACGTTTCGACAAATTGACTACATCCACAGAGTTGCAGAGGATTTTACTACTTGAGGAATTTATATTAGTTGATCGTCTCAACTTACAGGAGGAATCTCTCACTTCGTTGTTCTCTCTTCTTCTCTCTCTACACCGAGAAACACCGAAGAAGATAAACTTACCAAAGAAATAAACTCAATTTCTCTTCTGCCACAAGCCAACAAGAAGAAGTCAAGGGAGAACAATCTTCTTCTTCTTTCTTCTTCCTTCTGCCGCAAGGAACTACTGCTTGCACTTCTCTTCCACTCTCCCATGGAAGTCCTTCCACTCTCCCGTGGAAGTCCAAAGAAGAACAAAAGACCGTGCTTCAAAAACTTAAAGGAGAGTCGTGAGATGTCTTTTATCGTGAAACTGGAGGCGGGAGCGGGTGCTGGCGGACGGGAGTCGCGACTGCTTGCGATTGGGCGAAGGTGAGAGTGGGAGAAACCTTTTTTATTTGTTTTAACTTAATCGGGCTTCACACTTAACAATTCTATTTGATTGTATAGACGGGTCTGTAAAACTACATCCAGAAATAACTAGTCAAATAAATAGGTACTAGAAAAAGGCATGAGAGACCTGTTTTTATTAAAAAATAAAAAGATCATCAAAAACAACAGAGCCAAAAGTACAAGTACTAACTCACTTATAAATCATAGGAAAATAGGAAGACTATCGAATCAAAAATACCTGAGATGACAAAAACCTGGAAGGAACTTTTGCATTTCCAAGCGTGGAAACTATTTTTAAAGTTCCAATTATCCCCATCTTCTTGTACCTCATATCAGTATTGCTGACCTGAATATTTCCGGGAAGGGTATAGGTAAAATTACAGCAGGCCAAAATAAAAAAATTTAGGTCAGTTTTGGTTTCATTTGCCATGCACATTTCCAGTATTCTAATTATAACTTTTATCTCATACCTGTTTTCTAATTATCATGAACACTTCATTTGCAATGGAAGATTTAACAGTATCAGCTCGAGATCTAGCTGACAGTGCTAAACTAGAAAAGACTTCATAAACCTGCACCGGAGAAGTAGATGCATAAATAATGAAGATATTAGTTGTTTGGCTATGTGAAGACTTAAACTGCAAGAACCTTATGAAGGTTGTCTTCTTGAAAGCACTCCATGTAGTCCAAGATACCTGCAAAAGTAATTCCAAAAAAACCAAACCTTGGGACAAATTAATACCATCTCACATTAACATAGAAATTGAGCAAAGAATGATATAAACAATCAGAACTAAATACCGGTTACATGTGATGAAATTGGGATCAAATCCTCAGTGTATCTAGAACTCAATACAATTAATGTTTCCAGCGCTGAACTAACTTCATAAGCTATCCCAGAGCCAATATGTGTCACTAAAGCGCCCAGAACCTGCATGATATTCATCTGAGGTTTATAAAAAAAAAACATATTCTCCCTGGATAAATAAGCGTATGACACCTGTGAGATATCAGAAACCATTGAAGCATTAATTATATGAATCTCTTGCCATGCATAGAAACGGAGGATGTTCAATTCAATAGATGTTCTAAAGTTATGCCATTAAGTTGATAGGTTGAACGGCCATAATGCAGAGTAGAACCAACTTTATGTGGTTACGTCAAAAATACAAGGCATTGGGGCTCCTTGGTTTAGCATTTTAAGCCAATGAATAATGCAAAAGGGTAATTTTCATAAAGCGTACCTCTTGCCTCGAGTAAGTATCTTTGAACTCTTCAAATAATGACGTGTATAAGTGAATGCCGAAATTTCTCACTTGTTTTTCTTTACAAGAAAGAAGGTATTCACAAAGAGAAACAAAAGATGCGAAGTGGTCCTGGAAGCACAATATGAGAGGACAACAGGTCTTGAAATTCAAAGTAATTTCAACAAGGAAAAACTTCAGTCACCTGATTGCAAGTTTTAGAACACAAAAAAATCACACCTTTACCAACTCCCGTTGCCCAGTAATACATTGGTCAAACAGAGCCTCACAAAAACAACCATTTACTATTTTCTTCTTAAATATTTTCTGAGCATCTTTCTGTAAGGATCCGCCGTTGCTGTATATGAGCATGAGAAACCATATATCTATGGCCTTATGAAGGCGTGACTGGTCTAGAGACTTCAGCTCTTTCAAAACAGCCTCGCATAGAATCTGAAGTTAGCCAAGTGTACACACACTCAGCAAAGGAAAACATATCGTGACTGAGCAAAAGAAAAAGTAAACGAGCTGCATTGATTACATTCTTGAATCGCAGACTTGATCTCAAGGCATCAAAGATTGAAACTTCCGTGTTTTCGGCTATAGATTTTTCTTTGAGCTTTTTGTTTCTGGCAGAACAAGGATCCACCGCCACAATAAATTTCAACTGGTCGCGAATTTGTGTTATGATCCTCCCAGCATTTTGAGGTGTTGCAGAAAGCAATAAAAACCTAAGCAAGTGAGCTATGTGCCCGACATCCACGGTTCTGATGTGGGACAACGCAATTGTGACGACCTTCAATTTCAGATATAAAATTTAAATTTAACCGCATATGCAACAGCTGCAATGAACATGGCTAAAACAAAGCATCAATGCCAGAGTTCTGAACCTATTACCTGCTCCTGAAGCTGTTCATCCAAATTCAGAGCAGTGAAAGAATCAAGCACTGGAACAATGACCTCTGAATCTTCCATGAGTATCTTCTCCAGAGCGGCGACCACCGTGGCGTGGCTTTTATCCCCAATAATCTCCGGTAGCGAACCAATTATCTCCTTCTTAAGCTCGGGAGGGGAAATAGAAAGGGCCTCCATAAGCTTCTCGGCAAAAACCCCGGAATCCACTAGGAAATCGAGCCATCGTAACTGGTTCACGATTAACCTCGCAATGTCATCCTTCAGGGAGCGACCGGCTTGTGCTGCAACATCAATGAAATGTTCGGGCAGCTTCTCAAGCAGCATATTAAGCATCTGCGGCTGGATCGGAGCCACCAGTAGAAGCACCCGAGTAAGACTCTCCCCCCAAGTCGAGCAGCCACCATCATGGCTTGCGGGGATCAAAACCCTATACGAAAAATGAAATACAATAAAGCCCACCTAGCGGGGGGCATAAAGAAAATAAACCTGGGAAGAGAAGGAAATGGAACCTGCGGAGGTTTTGAGGGTCTTGGATGTAGGAAGCGAAACCGGAAAGGAAACGAGGGAGAATAGAGGGGTCTTCAGCTGTGGTGAGACGAGACTCAATATGGCGGCGAAATTTGTGAGGATTGGAGGGGAGAGACGGAGGAGCGTCGCCTGATACACGAAGGGTGCAACCGGCTTCGGCTAAAAGGGAAACCATCATTCTCATGTCAGGATCTTCATCATCTCCTCCTGTTGCACGGATACCCTTGCCTTTCGCGTTCCCAACTTCGCCGCCGACGGATTCAGTGGCAGGAGCTCCAACAGGGTTAGTGGAGAAGGCGGCATTGCGGTGGGGGTCGGGACCTAGGGTTGCAGCAGAGGCGGCGGCGACGGAAGGGTGGATATCAACTGAAGGTGGGGCAGGCCTCTTCTTCGGATTGGCGGGGATGGAGCGCTTGAGGAAAACCATGAAGAGTTGGGAGGGCGCGACGCGTCTGGAGACGAAAGCAGTCCGGCGAGTGAAGCCCGCCTGTTTTTAAAGCCCCATTTTTTTTTCTTTTTTTTTTTTAATGCATAATTGCATACATGTCACCCGAACGTTCTTGTGTACAAATAAGCAGCACTTAGAATGGTAAAAATAATATTATTTTTATATTACTTCTTACCATTTTATAATAAAGAATGTCTAATAATCAGTAAAAATATATAAAATCATTTTATAATATTTTTAATATCATTCATTATTATTTTATAACGATTTTTAGATATTTATCGTTTTGAAGTCTTTTTTACAAATATATTGCTATGACACTTTTGTTGCAAATATATTACTGCATAGAAGCAAAATAGTCATTTATCCAAAACTAGCTGCAAATCAGCTGTTTTTCAAATGCACAAACCAAACAGTCAGTCAACTTATCATAATCAGCTGGTCATCAGCAGATTATCAGGATAAGTTGTTTATCAGCATAAGTTAGATAAACTGCAGCGCAGCTGCAGCTTCTCAGTTTTTTCAGCTGCAACTGCACTGCCCGAAAAACTATTGTGGGAAAGCTAGTTGTTTTTTTTTGTGCAACTGTGTGAAAACATCTGTGAAACAGCTATTTCTGAAGAAATAATTATGTTGTCCCTCTTTGTTATAACTGCTTATAAATTTATATAATTATATGTTAAATTGATTGATATATGTAAATATATGAAAGTGATCATTATTATGGATTAATTTTAAGTATTTGGTGTGTCTATTATATATATATATATATATATATAATATATACTATTATATAATTTTGAATAAGAATTTTAAATCTATATACATACATGTATGAATATTTCACTCCCTGCAGTCACATATTATAGCCTCAAAGATCATCGCAATACTAATGTGTCAGAATCATGACATCACGAATACCACAATACCAATCCAGAGCGAAAGAATGCGGGATTAACCCCGTGACCCCGCTTTCGCACCGATATTTTTACCCTTTACCTTTAAACCCTAAACCCTAAACTTTTTTTAGCGCAGCTGCAGCTTCTCGATTTTTTCAGTCTGCCCAAAAAAAATAAATGCGAGGAAGCAGTTGCGAGGAAACTGACTGCATGTTTGGTACAACAGCGCGGAAACAGTTGTGGGACAGCTGTTTCAGGAGAAAATATTATGTCGTCCCTATTTTTTAAAACTGTTTATAAATATATATCCTTATATATTAAATTGATTAATATATGTAAATATATGAAAGTAATCATTATTATGGAATAAAATTAAGTATTTGGTGTGTGTGTGTGTGTGCATAACTATTATATAATTTTGAATAAGAAATTTAAATCTATATATATACATGTATGAATATTTCACTCCCCTACAGTCACATATTATAGCCTTAAAGATCATCACAATACTAATGTGTCAGGATCATGGCATCACGAATACCATAATACCAATCCAGAGTGAAAGAATGCGAGGTAAAGGGTAAAAGTATCGGGGCGAAAGCGGGGCCACAGGGTTAATCCCGCGGCCCGCTTTCTCTCAACTTCATCAAAGCTTTATCGTGAATCTACAAACCAAATAGCCACGGTAAATAACTGCGCTGCAACCATCCCACCCTCCTAAACGAGCCCTAAGAGACTCTTTTGGAGGATTTGGTAGCATCCTATTAATTGGATTTAGCTATGGATTTACCTTACTAGAATCCAACGAAACACCGAAAACATAAAACTTAAATCCAACACTCAATTAAATCCAATTTTTTAGTATTTCGCCTTTTTCTTGGCGCGTTCCATCACTTATACGACATAAATATGGATTTAGTAAATTTGACTGCGAGTTGAATTTATTCTATCATTGTTTGCTGAGTAGATCGTTGCGGTGTGGATTTCATAAATTCAAATTAATTGAATTTGATGAATTCTATTTAAGTGAAAAGTTGCAGCCAAACACCAACTTGGAGTGTGATATATTTTAAAAATTGACTACTAAAAAAACATTATATTTTGTTAAAAAAAAATCTTTAGTGAATCTTTTGTGCATCATATGTTTTAAAATAAGTCACATGTAAAAAGATGGATCTCATGAAGTTAATGCATGGGAGAAATTGATATTTGATCCACAGTCTTTATGAGTTTGGTAAGTGGTTTTATCAATATCAATCTCAATAAAATCTTCCTACATGTTCTCTGTGGTTCATAAGTGACATATTTAGGAATGGACTAAGTCTCATATGATGGTAATGATTTGTCATCCACGTGAAAATTTCATCGCCACATGAGATGAATGTTGTAGTCTTGAAGGTGTTGCTCATCGTCCAATCGAAAATGATGTTGCAGGTGATTGAGCATCCGCCACGATAAATTTCGTTGAGATTTTGTATTGCCTTTCTCTCTTGTTCCTAGTAAAAATAAAATAAAATCTTATGGCTAAGTTTGATTATGAATCATGCACGTCGTACATTTTAGGAGGTTGAATGTATTTTAGGACATAAGCTCTTACATTGTTCATGGGCTCACCCAACTCGGACCTGAGAGGAAGGCGATGAAGTTGATGGAGATGATCTACAAATGTCGATGAAGATACTTCCGAGTCCCTACCAAGATGATGATGAAGAAACATAAGATGAGAGTCAAAATAATCGAAGATTCTTTTGAAGCTATGATGACACATCTATTTGTATGATCCATAGATGGTTCTTTACTCTCGCAGGACTACATAAAAAGATATAAGAATATTAAATAATAGAGCATACAATAGGAAGCTTGTTCAAGCCATTGTAACGAAAAGAAGATGATGTGGAGGCCATACAATTCATAAATGACCATGGATGTATATTCGTTCTTTAATGATGACCATCAGTTTGGGAGATAGCTGATCTTAAGGAACCTGTCTAGTGCGACCGACAAGTCACTCGTAGCAATGGGATCGTCAAGTGAGATCATCAAATCACCTCGGTAAGCGAGAGCAATAAACGACTTCAACAATTATGATGGAATATTTATATTTTTGAAGATGGGATTTTCAAGCCCACGAGACTTGTTAGTACCCATAGGACATCAAAGGGGTCATATCAAAACCCATTTATTCGTGTACATGCCATAAAAAAAAAACCCATTTTTGATATACAACAATGTTTAATACATGCATCATATATAAGTTACTTGATAAAGTATGCACATGTTTTTGAGCATCTTATTTGTAAACACACCACAAAAAAAATGGAAGATTAACCTACATATCACTTAATTTCTATGCATATACATAATGAACATCAAACATTGATTTTTATATATATGCCACTTTTATATATACATGAAAATATGTATTTTATTTATAAAAATCAAAATGTGACCTTTTTGATGTAACATGAATGGGTGGTATAAATATAAAAAATAAAGTTTAGGTGTTTGATATGTAAATACACAGGAATTTGGTGTAAATGCCAAGAAATTACCGGTCGATTAAAAATAAAAAGGCTTCTCATCCGCTCATCGATTTCTCTCTCTCTGGTCGGCCCTCTCTTCTTCTTTCTCTCCCCATTTCCTGCACCCTTAACCCTCGATCTCCACCTCCGCCGCCGCAGCTTCTATCTCCATCGCGCCTCCCGTCCCTCTACACGCGATGCGACTCGCCAATTGATTCATGACTCACGCAAAGAGGTCTTTCTCGAATACGAGCGGCTGTAGTACCACCAGCTCCGGCGGAGTCCTCGGAAGCCCCCTATCCCCTACAGCGGCCGCCTCTTCGTCGATGAAAAAAGCCAAATCACAGCAGGTAGGGCCAGCGTCCGAGAGAGAGAAGAACGGCCTCCACCCACACACCGAACGCTTCGATGCGCAGGCAGCCGCGGTGGTTGATGAGGAGGAGAGCATGTTCATCGACCAGGAAGAACTGAAGGGAGGCGCTTCTGCGGTGGCTATTGCCACCACCGGTGTGGCGTCCAATCTCTCCAGGAAGAAGGCAACTCCTCCTCAGCCCTCTTCCAAAAAGCAGCTTGTCATCAAACTCATCAAGGGTAATTTTAAATTATTATATCTATTTATATTGGCCTAAATTGCAATCAAATGCTGATTTGTAGTCTAAATTATGCCCGATTTAGTTGTTTTTTTGGGTGCTATGTCTCTGCAACCTTCGAGTATGTAAAACCTTCACTCTTTGGTGTGTAGGGTGATACGAGCACTGCGTTTGTTAGAAGTCAGTTATGATAAGATGCACAATCCATTTCATCCCAGCCTTTTGTATATATTCTGCTGTATAACTTAGCCCTTGAATCATAACTACCTCTGCTGTGATAACAGATTGGCCTCCTAACTCCATCTATATTAGCCGCAAGGCTGTATTCAAAATGTTGTAATAAAAACTATTTGGAGTTCTTCATCTTTCGGCATCACCTTTCGTTTCATCTCTTTCCATATAAGCCACAAGTTATATTTTCACATGGTATCAGAGTATTGAGCTTCACAGCCATCGATTCGGGTTCTCTTTTCCAATTCAGGTTCTCCTATTTACTCAATCATAGAAGATGCTCCAAACACCTCAACCGACACCATACAAACTTCCACTCTTATCAAGATGGGAGACTTCTCAATTTCTCCACCATTAAAATTTCTCATATCCTATCACAAACATCTTGTTAGTATTCAGCTCACAATTGAAAATTATTCCATATGGAGACTTCAGATCTCAAAAACATTCACAATAAATGATTTTGAAGGCTTGCTTGATGGAACCACGAACTATTTTCTAAAACAACTAATTAATTCAACTGGTGATATTTCTCCCAATTCAGATTATCATACCCGACAACTTCTCTATCAAAATATACCTGCGGTCATTTACTCCACCATCAATGCATGTATCTTACCGTATTTCCTTAACCTTCATTCTTTTTCTGAAATATGGGCAACTATTGAACGAGCCTGGCACCAACAAATCAGTCAAAAGTAATCCAACTAAAAAATGAGCTACACAATATTTTGATGAAGATTCAAAGAATGTCTCAATACCCATCTCCCATTAAAAATTTGAGATAACATTGCTGGTTCACATTTTTTCTCCAAAGATATCTTCCTATATGTCTTAAATGGTATACTCTCATCATATCAAGCCTTTAAAATAGCATAATAACAAAACTTACACCAATGAGCTTAAAAAATTTCTATTAACTATTGTGCAATGAAGAAATCTGCATCAATAGTGATCAATCCAAGGTTTCTCAAGATACCGATCCCTCCCTTGCCTTGCTTTCAACCAGAGTTCGAAATCCTCTATCTAGTAGAGGCCGAGGAAGCTACAATTACTGTCGAGGTACCAACACACCTTAAAGAGCAGACATGAATTACACTCATTTTTGCTGTCAGATCCGTGGAAATCAAGGCCACTTTGCTGCATGCTGATGGCTTCACTACAAAAATCAATATCCCAACCCACCATCCCACACTCTAATCTCTCACTTATTTTCAACTGCAATCCTCCACCAATGAGTGGCTTTTGGATAGTTGTGGCACAACACATATGACAGCTGAACTTGATCAAATTCAACAACTCACAAAATGCCATGACTTTGATGAGGTTTTGCAAGGCAATGGTTCCTCTCTTCCCATTGCCAACAGTGTTCAATGACTTTTACCACACCAAACTGTAATCATATGATCTTACTCTACAATATTCTATATGTTCCTACACTCATAATCTTATTTTCATCAATAAGCTCTCATCTAATAAGAACTGTGCAATTTTTTTGTTATGACCTTGGTTACAACATTAAGCACAATCGGATCAGCCAAGTCTTACTCAAGGGGACTAGCTGTGATGGGCTCTACTCAATTTCCTCTAGCCGATCACATCTTCCTCTCGCTCTTTTATCTTCTTCATCTACTACTCAACTATGGTATTCTTGGCCCGGTCATCCACGTACAACCATGCTTTCAATAATTTCTAAATGACAAGAGTTTTTTATTTATTTCTTCTAGTTATCTTTTCTGCAATTTCTGTAAAATTGTTGAGAGACAAAAACTTCCTTTTCAAAACATGTTCTTCAACTTTAAAAAATGGTTGAATTACTTCACTCAGATGTATGAGGACCTTCCTCGATTCCATCCATCAATGTTTAAATATCACATTTCATTCATTGATAAGCCATCTCATTTTGTTTGTGTTTATCTGACGCATTCAAAAGCTGAGCTAACTCAAATGTTATTCAATGTACTCTCATTCTTGAAACTCAATTTAATGCTTGCATTAAATTCTTCACTTCGATGTTGGTGGTGAATATTTCAATCAAAATTTGCAAAACTCTAACAAATCGCAGAATCATTCATCAATTCAATTTATTTTATGATTTCTGAATGTGGTCTTAGTAGCTCAGTTTTGAAATGGTAGCTAGTTTTAGTATTTGAACAGCAAAATTATGTTAGAAAAACTAGCCCGTGAAGTTCTCCATTCTTTTGAAGGTGAATATATTTGATTGAAGATCCACATACCTATCGTCAGAGCAATTGATAGCTAAATTAATTTGAAAGTCGCTAGTAGATTATGCTGGTGCTAGAATTACGACACACTGGGTTAGCTGCCAGGTTGCTGTCAATCTCAAGGAAGGAAAGCCTAAAATTCAGATTTTATTTCCGTACTATTAATTTTATTGAATTATCTTGCTGCATTTCATTTGGGCAAAGCTTCTCTTATTGGGTGTAGGATGAATTTTGGTCACAGTATTTACACATTAAATTCAGTCTTCAGTTCTAAATGTGAATTTATTTAATTTTTTCTCTTTTAGGCTAGCTTCATTTTGCGTTATGCATACTTTTGCTAAGAGTTGGTTATAGAGCGATGCAAATAAAAAATGGTAATGTTTTGTTTGCATGATGTGGTGGGTGACCATATTAGCATCTACTTGTGTTGTTAGGAAGTATGATAGCATAAAACTTGGGAACAATGGTGCGTATTAGGCTTGCACATTCTTAGGAATTAAAAACTACGGTTCTCTTTCCTTCATTAGCAAATTATTTATTCCCATCGAAAGGTACTATAGATAACTATGGGTGGAGAATTTCACAAGCAGGGGGTTGGGGGAGGGCAATTAGCTGTCAGGCTATGCTATTGATGAAGATGTCTAATTTAAGTTGAATGTGGAAACCTTTCAACCAACACGAGTAAATATGCTGAGATGGGGAGAGAGAAGGTAAGCCTTGGATGGGGATGTGAAACTTGTAGACTAAGTGGTTGCATATGTGGGAAAATATGAGGGCGTGTGGTATGATGAGATTGTTAAGGGTCTATAAGTAAGTGGCAAATGGGGTGTGAAGAATGGTTTATTTGAAGGCAAGACTGGGGTGTGAAGAATGTTTTATTTGAAGGCAAGGCTGCAATGCGAGGGGATTCAAGGATGGTTTCCAACAACAAAGCAGTCAGAGGTCTGGATCCAATAAGAAAGATTATCTTAAATTAAAAATTATGGTAAGGGTGGGATTTAAGGAGGGGGAGGTACTCGCCAATAAATGGTCTAGATATATGTTCATTTGTTTTCAGCATATAAAATGCCATTTGCCAAGCATAGAAGTGTGGTCGTAATATCACTATCATAGTGGCGAGGCTTAATTAGAAAAGTTGAATTGACTTATCCAAGAAGTAATGAGTTAGTCCCAGGAAAGAAAGTGGCAATCAAATGCATGAAGGTAGAACCGTTATAAGGTTGAATTGGTAGATTCATGGTTCCACTTTCAAAAATGACGAGTAATTTTGCGTTGATGTGTTTGCCAAATGAAAATATCTTGATTGCGAGCCTTGAAGTCTGCAGTACATGCGTAAATGAGAGCTATCTCTGGGCGCGGAGAGCCAGTTGAACAACCACTGCCATCCTTTAGAAAGGATCATGATGGGAAATACAAAAGTAAAGGTGACAAAGGGTTGGAGAAGATCACAATGATAAGAGTTTTATCGATATTAGAGATCATTCATGGAGAGTGCGGTCCCATTCTTACATGCGAGTTACTAAAAGGAGGGAAAATGTGCGTCGGCCACGCTTTACGAAGGAAAGAAGTGCAAGGGGAGGCATGAGTGAAGATTAAATACATTAAATAAATTTTAAGTATTGATTGTTTGTTGATGGCAACTATTAACCAATTATGATGAGGTGGTAAATTGTCGGCAAAGGCTACCAGTTAGGGCAGGAAAGAGTATGGGATGCTTTGGAGAAGAGTCGGAGCAGGCGGCTATATCGTTCAATTTCTAGATCTTGTAATTAGGGCATTTTGAAAGAACTTTAGAATGAGGAACAAAACAATTGTGATTTTTCATTCAAATTTAGTTAATTTACCAATGCAAACTTCCTCTTTATTCATGTATTTTTGCTTCTCATGATTGATAGTCTATTTTGGACTGCGTCATATTATATTGACCTTTCTCAGTAACAGCTAATGATGTTTAAAACTTTGATTGCTCTGCTTGTAAATGCCATTAAATCCAAGTAGCTCTAATGTATTGTTTGATCATATCATCTTTTTGTGGATCCTGCAAATTAATGCAAAGATGGAAATCATGACTCTCATATTCAAATGAAGGAAATTAGGATCTCATGAATTTGTGCTATATCATGAAATTAGGTTCCCATGGATTCATGTTAAGGAATGACATTTACAACTTGTTTTTAAGTTATTTATTTGTTGGTATAGCTGTAAGTATTCTCTTATTTTATTCCTAAATTAATATATGTTATCTTGTATCAAATATTCTGTGAAATAAGAAAGAATTCCTTATTGCCACCATCTTCTCTACAATCGTCATCATTATCTCAATGCATTGCGATTGGATTTATGAATAATTCATTGCCATTTTCTTTGTTTAATGTCTCATAATATGATTAATTTATTTGACTCAAATTATTTCTATAATTTATGACAATGTTAGATTGAGATATTTATGAAAAATTGAAATACTTTGCACTATTTTTTTAATTATTGTTCAAGTTGCACCTAATAACTATATCGAGTTTGTCAACAATCAAATTCATTATGTTGCTTTATTCAGTATGTACCAACCTAATTAATTTTCTCGGACTTAGGGAGCCCATATTTAATGTCTAGTTTTTGTTTATGCTTTACTTGATTTGTGATTCTGGCATGTGTCAGTATAGTATTTCTTTGCTTAATTCATAACTCCCATGAAAATATTTATGAACATTGAAGTTTGTATTGTTTTGTTTTGTTAATATTTAATCTTCCCTTGCCTTTTGATTTCTATAGTTAACCGGTAAATAAATATTGAGCTTCATGCATTGGAAGCTAACACTTCTCTTTATGATGGTCAATCAGTTCTCTTCATACTTTTGCATCACTACAAACTTCGATAATTAATATAGTATGCTTGTTACTAAAGAAGAAAGAAATAAGATATATAGATCTATGTGAGTGCGTGCACACACGTATTTGCGTGCATATCTTTGTGGAAGAAGTTCTTTAGAAGAACTTAAAGAATAATGTAATGAATCATATTATAGATTGTTACAAACAATTGAAATATAAGCCAGCTCTAAAAATGCATAAATGTAAGGCTTTAGGTTTTATGAGATATTTAATTAGATTTGGGCAATTATGAAGGATTTTGCAGTGATTTAATTGAATTTTGAAGACTAAGGGATGCCAAATGATTGAAGAAAATATAGTTTCGTATCAATCTTTAATGATTAAAATAATGCTCAAGATTGTGCTTATTATCGATGGATCAAATTTATGATACACATGATGAAGCTGTGAAAGAGAATGTAATGACACATGCTTTGAAATTTGCATCAATTTTAGATACTTAATTTTGTTTCATATCTGAGAGGTTTATTATGGAAACATATTTTCCGATAATACAGTTAACTAAGAAGAATGGTAAACAAAAAAATGTTCGTTATTTGATTTTTATTCTTCTTGAGAAGATATGATCGAGAATCATGAATATCTATTCAATGTACTTTATGGAAGAAAGCTGTATATGAAAGATATGTTCATTTTATCAAAATTTTTTATAATGGAGCATTAATTAATATTATTAGTATGTATGTAGTGACCTGAGAGTTTCCTATCTCTGTAAGTTTACATCATTGTTCATTTTTTTATTGATTATGGAGATGCTTACCAAATATATTTAAAATGAGGCGCTTTGTGATATGTTTTGGATACATCGATAATTTTATTTACTGAGAAATTCTTTGAAGTAAATGAAAAATCAGATTAATAGATAAAATTTTGGAAGATAGAGGCTTTAGAATTAGCAAAGCAAAGATTGAATCTATAGTATATAATTTTAACATGCATAATGCTAATAATTATCAGTTAATATTATTCAAAGATAAATGATATATATGTGTGATAAGTTTAAGTATTTGGGATCTTTTATATAAAAAATGGAAAGACGGGTATTTAACATTTATTATCAAGGCTGAACGATTAAAATGAATATGTGCTTTTGTTGTTTTATGTGATAAAAGGTTGTCATGGAAGCTTAATAATAAATTTTATAAAGTACAATAAGGTTGATGTTGTTGTATGGATCCGTATGTCGGTTCTTTAAAATCATGAATATTTAAGTTATATGTGAAGGAAATGATAATGCTAAGCTGGATTTGTGGCAGAACTAGAAAAGGCAACATAAGGAATGATTATATAAGAGGAAAGATTGGGGTGTCTATCGAAGATAAGGCGACTGGAGATGGATTTAGCTATGTGAATAAATGATGAAAATTGAGTTCGTTAGGCATGTTGATAAAATAATGGTAGATAGTTTAGAAAAGAAACTAGGAGATATAAGGCTACTTGTCTAGTGGCTCTTCAAAATGATTTGTGAAGAATAAATTTAATACCTTAAATATCCCTTAACACAACGAACGAATGTGCTTCCAAATAGTTGGGATTTATCTACAGATGATGTTAATTCATGTGTACCTATTTATTCTATGCTATAGAATAAGAGAAGTAGCACTCATCTAGCTTTCAAGTAATTACATTAAAAGAGATTCTGAATGCAGTATGATTTGCCTGCTGTCACCATGGGATTGCTCATCTATTTTGGGGCTTCAAATTTAATTGTCTGGGCATTTTATTGCCTTATAATTCTTAAAATTTAAATTTTTTGAATCGCTTGCTGCTTTTAGGAAAGCCTACCCTGCCAGCAAACTTCGAGGAAAATACATGGGCAACTTTAAAGTCTGCTATTACAGCTATATTTCTGAAGCAGCCAGATCCCTGTGATTCTGAGAAGCTTTATCAGGTACTTTTATAGGCCGTGATTGTAATATGGCCATGAAAATTATAAATATAGCTTTTATTTTGACTCTTTGCCTTTGTACTGTACCATAGGCAGTCAGTGACCTTTGCTTGCACAAAATGGGAGGAAATCTTTATCAACGTATTCAGCATGAATGTGAAGGGCACATTTCTGCCAAACTACATTCATTAGTTGGTCAAAGCCTTGATCTGGTTGTGTTCTTATCATTGGTAGAAAAATGCTGGCAGGATTTTTGTGACCAGATGTTGATGATTCGCGGTATAGCACTATATCTTGATAGAACACATGTTAAGCAAACTCCAAATGTTCGGTCTTTGTGGGATATGGGGTTGCAGTTGTTTCGCAGGCATTTGTCACTGTCTCCGGAAGTTGAGCGGAAAATTGTTGCTGGTCTTCTAGAGCTGATTGAGAGAGAAAGGTATGCTAAACTGTTTTGAGTTTATGAGATTTGCAGTAGGATAATGCAACTTACCTTGTCTTTTTATCTTGGTATATGTTGAACTTATTCTCCTTGTTTATTTTTTTCTTAATGTATTTCTTTGAACAGGATGATATTTTTGTTTGTTTAACCATACTCAGCTTTGACATTTTGAATGATTACATATACACTTTTAAAAGTTGTTATATGACAGTCTAGTAATCTTTGAAAAATTAAGGTATTTTTCTGTTCTAGATTCTTGGAATGTTGGAACTATGTTAATATAAATCTATTTATCCAGTAATTGTTAGATAGATGAACTTTTTAATAAAATAATAAAAAAGAGAGGGTTGGTTTATTGTTATTTTAATATTTTACTGATAATTGAGAGCTGTTATTGACTAATTATTATGTCACATCCATTGACAATTAATTGTTTCTTGTCAATATATTTGAAGTGTTCATGGTGTCGATTTAATGTTTTATTATACATAAAACTATTTGCTCTATCATGCATATTGTTGTTGTATTTCTGGTTTGGAGTTTAAGTGACATTCCATCAAGTATGAATAAATCTTGTTGATTGTTGCATTTTTCTGGCCTTAATTGGAGGCTTTCAGCTCATATCTTATTTTGGAAAATACACAGGTTAGCAAATGTCAAATTTGACACACCTTTCGCTGTAATACCATGTGAACTGTGGCTACTACACTGCACTCTAACATCTGTAGCTGAAGGATAGGGTAATACTGTCTGTATTATTCCCAATCAACATACGTATATACTTGGCCTGATGGTTTTGAATATGACTTAGCCTTTCACCTGAAAACTATCCTTTGCAATGCACGGGATGATAAAATTGATCATATATCATAAAATTATCTTCATATATTATTTTATATGAAGCTCAAATAAAAAAATAGTAGCTTTTAAAAGGATAAAATTGATAAATTGCTTACCCTCAGGATGAAAGAAAAAAATTTCTACAGAAATGAGATGGTCTTTCTTTGAAACCGAGCTTTCACCTTAGATTAGGCTTTAAAATGATTGAAATTTTCGTGCTTTGTCATTAAATATTGAAAATTAAAATAAAATTTTAGTTTGAATTAACCTTTTAATAATTAAAAAATTTAAAATTAGTGTCTATTAAATTTTTTATTTTAGTTTAGATAATAATACAATAATTAGAATAACGTAATTTGTATACTAGAGTAGTTATTAGATTGATTAGATGTAAGTGAGCTGCTCTTTTTAAATGTTCAACTTTTTCCTCCACAAAATTAACTAAAAATAATCCAAAAAAAGAGATCCCCATTTTGAATTGTGGCTCTCTCCTTGTTTGCAGTTATGAAAATTTTCAAATAGAAGCTTGGGTCTTTTATTTGGTTAAATATATTGTCTCCGCCACATAGTAGGGATTTGGATCATGGGAGTTGCTATGCTTTTCAGCAAATTGCATCCACATCACCTCTTTTCATCCAAATCATTTTTCTCGTTCACACATTAAGGTTTTAAAAGAAGTCTTTTGGAGAGTTCTAGAGAAGAAAGCTGCTGATATGATTTATATTCAAGTCATTAAAAATATGTATGCTAGTGCTATTAATTGTGTTCGAACAGAAGGAGGATTGACCAAGTATTTTCCTATTTCAATTGGATTACTTCAAGGATCGACTTTAAGCCCATATCCTTTTGCTTTAGTTATTGATGCTCTTACTGAAAATTTACAGAAGGATGCACCTTGGTGTATGCTTTTCTCTCATGATATCCTTCTTGTAGATAAGTCTAGAGAAAGATTTTAAGAAAAACTTAAACATTGGATTTTAAAGGTCTTCGTTTGAGTAGATCTAAAACTGAATATATAGAACATAATTTTAGTAGTAGTATCTCTAGTGGTAGAGTTGTAACCCGGGTGATCAAATCATTAAAAGGTTTGAACGTTTTAGATATCTTGGGTCTATTGTTCAATTTGATGGTAATATAGATGAGGATGATAATAGTGAAATTCGAGTTAGTTGTGTGATAGAAAAGTACCGCTTAGACTTATAAAGGACAATTTTATAAGATGGTGGTGTGACCTTCAATGATCTATGGTGCATAATGTTGGCTTTTAAAAGAGAAGCATAAAACAAAGTTAAGTGTTGCTGAGATGAGAATGCTTAGGTGGTTAAGTGGCTTGATTCTAAGAGATAAAATCCGAAATGAATATATATCCGTGATAGAGTTGGTGTAGCTCCAGTGACGGTCAAGATTAGAGAGAGTCTTCTTAGATGGTTTGCTCAAATTAAATGTCGTCCATCTAATGATCCGGTTAGGAGAGTAGATGTTTTAAATTTGACTTATGCTAAGGAAGGCAGAAGTCTCCTACGAGATCTAAATTTTTTTATTTTTATTAAAACTTCATTTAATTATAATGTAATATATTTTATTCTGTCTTTTTGATTAATAATTTTAGTTAATTATAAATTTTTGTAGCATTGTAGACAATTAAAATTTTTAAAAATACAACTCATCAATTATATATATATATATATATATATATATGTGTGTGTGTGTGTGTGTGTGTGTGTGTGTGAAAAAATAAAACTCATCAATTATATATATGTGTGTGTGTGTGTGTGTGTGTGTGTAAAAATACAACTCATCAATTATATATATGTGTGTGTGTGTGTGTGTGTGTGATTTAATTATTTCGAGCCAGAACGAAAACAAATCTGTGTTTTTGTTCAGCTCGTTTGGACATTGATCACAAAATAATTGCGTGTTCGGCTCGTTTGCTTAACGAACGAATCGAACGTGAGCTTCTTATCGAGTCGAACACAAACTGTTCGTGAACAACAAACAGTTTTGATAGCCATAATTATGATTAGATCTTTTAATTCAAATTATTTTATCGCATTTAATTTTTGCATCATTACTATATACATTTTCTTATTTACATGGACACAATTAAATAATAGTCTCTCTTTTTTGTATTTTACATATTATTTAAAATTTAAAATTTTTTCGATTAATCTATATTTTAAAAATGTAAATATATGTATGAAACAAACATTGAAACAAAATAACAGTGTTATTAAAAGCATGGTTCAAATTTGCTTTAACAGCAAAGCAGAACGCTGTACTGGCTTTATGAAGCACTACTCATAACAAGGCGCATTAGTTGGGTTGCTCTGCCATGTGGCATTGTAGAGCTGCATGCTTTACTATGGCTCAAAATGAAATCTTAGTTTATATTTTATGATTTAATTCAATTTATGTTGCAATAACTTGGGCATGAATGTTCACTTCCTTGGTTCTTGTAGCCGTTGAGTTGTTACTAGTTGATGCTTTGTTCTCTCTTAGTGGACCTATTCACTTCCTGTTTGTTTCCTGCCCTCGTTCACTTGCTATTTTACTTGTATTCTATGTGTTGGTTCTTATTGTTGGCAGTTCTTTTTCTTGTTCAGAAGCTTTTTCTCATGATACATTTTGTTTTGTCATTTGTATGCTTTCCAGTACTTTATCTTACACAATCTCTCGTTTCACACTATGTTTGCCTCTCAATCCCTAACATCTAAATCTTACAAGTATTCTTTCATCACTTTATTTTCTATTATCTTTGATTTCTATTTTTTTGCTTATCAGGGAAATTATTGCTATTGTATGCTTTGTTATTTTTTTTTTGAAATTATTAACTGATGTGGTTTGAGCTTGATTAATTAAATGACTATTATATTTTATATGATTTGTATGATAAGTTCTAAAGTAAAATTTTAGAATGACTTGGAAGAATCAATACAAATGTTATCTTTTGAAGAATTGATTTTTATTGGAGGAAATTTAAATGAACATGCTGGTAGAGTGGTAGAAGATTTTATAAATATTTATGGTAGTTATGGTTTTGGAGTGATTAATGAAGAAGGTAGAACCATATTATATTTGTTTTGGCATATGATTTTGTTATTGCAAATATTTTATTTAGAAAAAGAGGAACATATTATTTCTTATAAGAATGTATCTAATAGAACACAAATTGATTATTTTCTTATGAGAATGATAGATCGTCAAACATGTAAAGATTGTAAGGTCATTCCAAGTGAAAATATAATTACTCAACATTGATTATTAGTTTTAGATTTTAAGATGAAGAGTTGTAAGATAAAGAATATTAAGAATAATTGTCATAGATGGGGACACATAAAAGATACAAATAAATTATTTTTATGAATAAACTTTAAGATTTCATGATTTGGGATGTTCATGAAGAAGTAAATTCTATTTGAGATAAAGTAACAAACACTATTAAGCAAGTGATAAAAGATGTGCTTGGAGAATCAAAAGGAAAAATTTTTGTGAATAAAAATAGTTGGTGATGAAATAGTAATGTGCGAGAAAGATAAAATATAAGATGTGTTATAAAAAATAATTTAAATGTAAATGCTTAGAGAATTGAGAAAAATATAATGTGGCTAGTAGGGAGTCTAAGAGAACAATTTGTGACGTTAAAAATTCTGTTTTTAGTGATCTTTATAATAGATTTGATATTAAAAAGGGTGGTATATATATATATATATATATATATATATATAT